GTCATAAGCATAGGAACTCTAATATTAATGAGCACGTGGAGGCCCCAACATAGAACATGGCAGTAGCCAATGTACTTTAGGGCTTTTATTTTTAACCTGGGGTCTTCTGGACTTCCTGTGGCAGACGGTGACAAGAGGAAAAACACTCAAATTCCAGGTCGTAATAATGGTTCCATCTCTGGCCACATTGTGAATGTGATAAACAATTTTGTATCCAAAATCACTGAAGGAATGTTTCAATCCAAAACATACCATGATCTAAGGTTTTTCTAAAGAAAATGAACAAGGAGTTGGCTACAGTTAGGTTACTCAGAATGAAAACAGTGGACTGAGTTGCTTCCCAAGAAGTAATTCCCCAAGATTGCAATATAAACCTGGAAAAGATTACTCCAAATTTTAAATCCACATACACCACTCTATTATTATCCAACACTTAATATGCACACCCCAAAATAGAAGAATCTGCATAGAAACATATGTTGCAATATAGGTATTTCCTTAAAGAACTAAATTCAAAATTCAGCCCTTATGACTAACTCTCCTAAAGATTTCTAAGATGTGTTTAATCTTAAGCAATTTTCAAATTCTGATGTTTTTCTTTATATATCATTTACAGTATGTTAAGGCCCACTGTTTATAATGCTTTGCCTAGTCTAATTTAATATTTTTCACATTTGGGTTGGAATCTAGTAACATTTTATTTTTACAAGCAATGTCTTACAATGCTAACTAATTTAACACTGTGGTCCATGGACAATACATCTCTTTTTTCTCAATGAAGCAAGCCAAATGTTTTAATATAAACCCTATAAATGCTCCCAAACTCAAGAGATAAAAAATTTTTTTCACTGCATTAAAAAATCTGGGTTCTCTTCAGAACCCAAAACATGCTCATGAAAGGACATGGGGTGAAAAAAACAGTGAGAAAGATCTTAGTCATAACACATGAAAAAAACCAGAAGGGCTGAGGTTCATGTGTAGCTAGAGGTGAACATGGATAGTAAAGAACTGCAGATAATGAGAAAATAATAACAGAGTCAATTGTGTAGGCTGGAAACTCATGTCCTCTTTTCACATAAATAATCAGAACCACCTCTACATGTAGCTATTCTCTATCTCTTACATGGAGCTGCAAACTCACCCCAACAGGAACAAAAGGAATAGTTACTGCTAATTATGAAACACCTATGATACACCTAGTGTTGTCTTGTGTTTGATCTCTTCATATATAAATGTCAATATAAACTGTGACTTATGAAGCCTCCCCGGTTTTACTTTAAAAAATGGGCCTGGGCGGCACCTGTGGCTCAAAGGAGTAGGGTGTCAGCCTCATATACCAGAGGTGGCAGGTTCAAACCTGGCCCCAGCCAAAAATTGCAAAAGAAAAAAAAATTAGCCTAATAAAGTCAACCAACTCATCTATGTCAATTATAGAAAGTGAAAGTAATAATAAAGAAAAATTCCCTCAAATAGGACTCTTCAGTTGAGAAAAAATTTAACTTAATGTACTCCCCATGGAATTACACTTCCAAATTATACTGTGAGAAAACCATTAGATTCTATAAAAGCCATTCTTACGATCTCTGAGTAGGTCATATGAAGAATACTTCATATATTTTGGAAGTAAATCATATATTAGGTCTAGAATGAGTAAGAAACAAAAAACAACAAAAATTTCATTAGAAAATTTTAAACTGGCTCAGTGCCTGTAGCACCGTGGTTAGACTGCTGGCCACATACACCTGGGCTGTCTGGTTCAAAACCAGCCTGGGCCTGCTAAACAACAATGACAACTACAACAAGAAAAGCTGGGTGTTGTGGTAGGCACCTGTAGTCCTAGCTACTTGGGAGGCTGAGGCAAGAGAATCACTTACACCCAAGAGTTTGAGGTTGCTGTGAGCTGTGACTCCACCGCACTGTACTAAGGGTGACATAGTAAGACCCTGTCTCAAAAAAAAAAAAAAATTTAAATCAGAACCATAAGATTTTAGAGAAAAGAATTCAATAAACAGCAGAGAAAATATACTTATAGAATCTTTGAGTTTCTATTTGGCTAGTAAATTATCAACATGTTTGAAATTGCCCGTTTTGTTCCAATATATTTCTTCTCAAAACAGGTGCACACTAACACACACAACAGAAGTCTACACGGTCCTCTTAAGGCTCATCTTTAGAGTGATGTACTTCTATATAACACTCCATGTAAACAAAAAATGAAAGTATGTATGTGTTTTACAGGCCAGAGAGTTCACACGTTCAAAGAAAAATAAGATAAATTTTTTTGAAAGAGGGTCTCATGATGTCCCACAGTACCATGGCCTCAGCCCAGCTCACAGCAAAATCAAACTTAGGGACTGAAGAGGTCCTCCTGCCTCAGCCTCCCATGTAGCGGGAACTAAAGAACTACTACTCTGGGCTAACTGTTCTATTTTTAGTAGAGATAGGGTCTCCTTTGCTCAGGCTGGTCTTGAAATAACTCCAGTGATCCTCTTACCTCAGCCTCTCACAGTGCTAGGATTACGGGCATGAACCACCTAGCCTGTAGGATAAAAATTTTGTAAACAGTAGTTCAAGATACAGAAATAGCTTTGGGGGATTATATATCTATATAATCTTCATTATATTCATCTTAATGGCCATTCATCTATGTAAGGAATAAAAATATAAATTACGGTAATGATATTTTTCAAGCTACTTGAAGGTTAAAGCCTATTGGAATAAGTCATTAAAGATGTTATTTCTCTCTGTTGCTCAGTAACATGTTACGATCTATTACTTAGAACCTTGAATAAGGTTGGATAGGGTAATGTTGGTGGTGGGATAACACCTCATTCTGTGCACAACACTCTTAAAAACAATTTTCCTTTATTAAAACAAATCAAGTTCACACATAAAAAGTATTTCCAAATCCATTCTACTTTATTACTTTAACATGTGCTTAGTAAAACAATTTACTTCTCAATTTTTTTTTTTTTTGTGGTTTTTTGCCGGGGCTAGGTTTGAACCCGCCCACCTCCAGCATATGGAGCCAGCACTCTACTCCTTTAAGCCACAGGCGCCGCCCAAAAATCAAAATTTTTTTTACTTTAACTTTTTCAACTGCAATTTTTTTTTTTTTTTTTTTTTGAGACAGAGTCATGATCTATCACTCTGATTTGACTGCTGTGGCATCATCATCACTCACAGCAACCTCAAACTCTTGTTTTCAAGTGATCCTCTTGCCTCAGCCTCCCAAGTAGCTAGGGCTAGAGGCCTATGCCACCACACATGGCTAGTTTTTCTATTTTTTAGTAGAGACCAGAATCTTGCTTTTGCCTAGGCTGGTCTCACCTCCCACTGTGCTAGGATTACAGAAGTGAGCCACTGCATCCAGCCAAAATCAAAATGCTTCTAACCACATAGAGATAAATATTACTCAGAACACCTACCTTTGAAATAATAGCAGTCTTATAAGTCACTCACAATAGCAATTCCACATAGATTTTCTTAACACAGCTTACATTAATGTGTCCTTAAGATTCCTTGGAAGAATCTATGAGTGCTATCCACCTAATTCAGCAGGGTCTCTCGTACTTGTGATGCAGCAAAAACTGACCACATATTTTCCCACAAACTCTAAAAATGAAGGCACAGCATCAAGTAATTTGATAGTTAAATTATGTCAATATATAACTTACAAAAAAATCTAAGTTTTTAATGCAAAAAATATACTTTGAATGTAATTTCAACTCGCAAAAAAAAAATCACTCTCCTGCTCCTATTAAATGTACATATATATATAAATTGTCTAACAATTTTAACACTGGATTCTTCTATGTAATTAATAACCTGCTTTTATACAATTATACATCTGTAGAGTTTCTCTGATCTGAATTCTCTTAAAATCTGACTATCTTATGGAAGGTTCCATGCTATCGTGTTTCCCCCAAAATAAGACACTGTCTTATATTTATTTTTTCTCAAGAAGACATACTAGGGCTTATTTTCAGGGGATGTCTTATTTTCATTAAGTATAATACAACAATCTACATTTATACAAATACAGTTAAGTCATCTTCTTCTGGAACCTGACAGGGGGAGCCAATCTTGTTGGTGGGGCTGGCACTAGTGATGCATGAACTCCTTTCCCCTAGCCGTTCACACACACGCAATAGGATGCCTATGACTGCGGTTACCACATGCACACCCACGCAAGTATGAATGGCTAGGAGAAAGGAGCTGTGGCAGATAAAAGGTATTCCAGTCTTCCTTACGGCTCTGTGCTGAAATGCATGGCATGGCTATGCAGCGTATCTGCATAGGTCTTATTATAGGGGTAGGCTTATTTAACAAATGCATAGAAATCCCGCTAGGGCTTATTTTGGGGGAACACGGTAGTACCAATTCTCCTATGCAAAAAAAAAACTGTAATAGAAATAAAGGTATTGTAATGCTCTTTATAGTCATAATAGTTTTCTCAGTATGAACACTTTGGTGCACTCTAAGACTTTTACTTTCTGAATAGTATTTTGACAGTTCTTACGTTTTTATCTCTACTACCCAGTATGACTCTCTGTTAAGTAATCATGACTTATTAAAGCATTTATTAAAGGTTTTCCCACTTTCTTCACATCTGTAGGATTTTTCTCAAGTATGAATTCTCTCATATACAGTAAGGTAAGAGCACCAAGTAAAGGCTTTCCCATATTCTTCACATTTGTAGTTTCTCTCAGGTGTAAATTTTGGGTAAGCATTGGTTAAAGGCTTTCCTACATTCTTCACTTTAGTAATATTTCTCTTCAGAATGTATTATATTTAGTAGAGTATAAGCATCACTTAAAGGCTTTACCACGCTCCTCACATTTGTAAGGTTTCTCTTCTATGAATTGTGTTATATACAGAAAGGAGTATTGGTTAAAGACTTTGCCACATTCTTCACACCTGTAGGGATTTTTTTTCTGGTATGAATTCTCTTATGTACCCTAAGACTTGAGCTGCGATTAAAAGCCTTGTCACATTCTTCACATCTGTAGGGTTTTTCTCCAGTATGAATTCTCTCATGAATAGTAAGGTATGAACAACAATTAAAAGCTTTGCCACATTCTTCACATTTGTAAGGTTTTTCTCCAGAATGAATTCTCTTATGATTAGTAAGGTTTGAACTATGGTAAAAAGCTTTGTCACGTTCTTCACATTTGTGTGATTTTTCTCCAGTATGTATAAGTCTCTTATGTATACTAAGGCTTGAGCTGCGGTTAAAAGCTTTGTAACATTCTCCACATTTATAAGGTCTCTCTCCAGTATGAATTCTCTTATGAATAGTAAGGTCTGAGCAACGGTTAAAGGCTTTGCCACATTCTTCACATTTATATGGTTTCTCTCCAGTATGAACTCTCTTATGATTTGTAAGGTCTGAGGAACGGTTAAAGGCTTTTCCACATTCCTCACATTTGTAGGGCCTTTCTCCAGTATGATTAATTCTTTTATGTATACTAAGGCTTGAGCCATGGTTAAAGGCTTTGTCACATTCTTCACATTTGTACGGTTTCTCTCCAGTATGAATTCTATGATGTTTAGTGAGGTCTGAGCATTGATTAAAGACTTTGCCACATTCTTCACATTTGTAGGGTTTCTCTCCAGTGTGTATTCTCTTATGTTTAGTAAGGACTGAGCAATGAATAAAGGCTTTGCCACATTGTTCACATTTGTAGGGTTTTTCTCTGGTGTGAATAATTCTTTTATGTAGATTAAGGTTTGAGCTATGGTTAAAAGCTTTGCCACATTCTTCACATTTATAAGGTTTTTCTCCAGTATGGATTCTGTTATGTATACTTAGGCTTGAGCTGCGGTTAAAAGCTTTACCACATTCTTCACATTTGTAAGGTTTTTCTCCAGTATGAATTCTGTTATGTATACTGAGGCTTGAACTGCGGTTAAAAGCTTTGCCACATTCTCCACATTTGTATGGTTTCTCTCCAGTATGAATTCTGTGATGTTTAGTGAGGTCTGAGCATTGATTAAAGACTTTGCCACATTCTTCACATTTGTAGGGTTTATCTCCAGTATGAACTCTCTTATGTTTGCTAAGGACTGAGCAATAAATAAAGGCTTTGCCACATTCTTCACATTTGTAGGGTTTGTCTTTGGTATGAATAACTCTCTTATGTAGATTAAGATTTGAGATGTGATTAAAAGCTTTGCCACATTCCTCACATTTGTAAGGTCTCTCTCCAGTATGAATTCTCTTATGAATAGTAAGGTCTGAGCAACGGTTAAAGGCTTTGCCACATTCTTCACATTTATATGGTTTCTCTCCAGTATGAACTCTCTTATGATTTTTAAGGTCTGAGCAACAGTTAAAGGCTTTTCTACATTCCTCACATTTGTAGAGTTTATCTCCAGGATTGATTCTTTGATGTTCAGAAAGGTATGAGTAGTGCTTAAAGGCATTCCCACATTCATAAGATTTTTCTCTGGTATCAATTCTTTTATGTATACTAAGATTTGAGCTGTGGTTGAAAGCTTTGCCATAATTTTTACATTTATACAATTTCTCACCAGTGTAAGTTATCTTATGATTAGAAAGGCTTGAGCAGGATTTTAAGACTTGGCCACATTCTTCACATTTGTAAACTTTCTCTCCATTATGAATTCTCGTGTGTTTAGTAATGTGTGAGCACTGGTTAAAAGCTTCTCCACATTCTTTACATGATTTCTCTACAGTATGTCTCATTTTATGTCTCTTTAGATTCAACAAGTTTTTGAAAACTTTCAAACATGTACTACATTGGAAGATTTTGCTATGGCCAGTTGCTGAACACTGGTTAGATTCATTATAATAACTGCTCTGCTTCTTATGCTCATCCACCTTTTCCCAGTCTTTCCTTAAGTTTAAATCCTCAAGACCACAGCTTCTATAGCTTCGTAGTAACACTTTTTGGAATGAAACATTTATTCCCTGCTCTGGCAAATGGTCTTGGGTGGAATGAGAAGACACAGCTGAAAGAAAGAAAAAAAATAACAAATTATCCTACTTATTTCCTTTTTTAAGAACCTGATGTATTGGAGATTTTTTAAATGTATTCATGTTATCAGCTATTTTGAGTTAAATAAAAGCAGAGAAGAAAAAAATCAGATGAATACACTTTATAAATTTAATATGTGAAATTATACCAGGCATATTAGCAAAATGGCATAATACAATATACAGACTCTGAATAAATAAAACAAAACTATATTGACTGAATTGATTTGTTAGAACTCTAAGAATCAAATAAAAGAGTTTGCAGCACACCAGGTAAGCACAATGCCAAAAGTGACCTAGAAAGGAAAGAAAAGTTTGTTATGTTTACCCACCATGGCCTTTTCTTTTTAACACAGCCTGGGGTATATAGAAGTAAACTTCCAACTTTCAGCTTCTGTCTCAAATAAGAAAGAAAACAGTGACACCTGGGCGGCACCTGTGGCTCAGTGGGTAGGATGCCAGCCCTATATAGACTGAAGGTGGCAGGTTCAAACCCGGACCTAGCCAAACTGCAACAACAACAAAAAAGCCAGGCTTTCTGGTAGGCACCTGTAGTCCCAGCTATTTGGGAGGCTAAGGCAAGAGAATCACCTAAGCCCGGGAGTTGGAGGTTGCTGTGAGCTGTGATGTCACAGCACTCTACGAAGGCGATAAAATGAGACTCTGTTTTTTAAAAAAATAAAAAAGAAAGAAAGAAAAGAAAATAGTGACACCTATATCCCCCCTTTCTGGCTTTTAGGGGACTTTAAAAAGGCTGGTATCTGTCCTCCAGAATGCAGAGCTGAAAAGAATGGTGCTATAGTTTGAAACACAGACTAGGTGAACTGAAACAAAAGGTAAAAAGATTGTTACAGCAGCAGAGAGACTCCAATACCAGCAACAGAGAACAGGTGTAACAGATGATGACAGGCTGTAAAGAAGAAATGTGGGACTATTGTTTGAACTACAATAAACACACAATTTCACATAAGAAACATCCTCAGAACACATTTGAGGCTCCTTGACTCTCTAGTAAAGTTAGTTGGTGTCAGAGTACCCCAGGACAAAGCAACTTTACAAATTTGGTGAAAGATGGATCTTTATTAGCCCTCAAATCAAAAATGAACATTAAAACACAGACAAAATATCAGGGTAACATTGTTCAATCAATGAAACAAAATAAATAAACAGAACTCAGCCATAAAGGAATGGAGAGGTATAAATTATCAGAAATATTAAAAATATTCATCTTAATGATGCTGAACAAATAAAATGCAAATATAGTCAACTAAATAAAGTCAGGAAAATGAGAACATCAACAAAAAATAAAATCATAAAAAGAAATTGTGAAGCTAAAGAATATAATCAGAAATGACTGAGTTATTCTCAAATATAAGAAAAAGGATATAAAAAGTTAAGAAGCACGACATAATACAGCGAGAATAAACACAAAAAGACCTGCAACAAGACAGATTATAAGCATAGTTGTGAAAGTCACACACAGGAAGAGAATATTGAAAGCAGCAGTAGAAAAGTGATGTGTCATCTATGAGCATGCTCCTATGATTTACTAGTGGATTAAACAACAGATAACTACCAGAAAAGAGTTCAGTGTCATAGTGGTAAAAGAATAAAAACTTCAAAGCAGATATACGATATCCAGCAAAACTACCCTTCTAAATGAAGGAAAAAAAAATAAAGACATCAAAATAACTAGATGCTAAAAAGTTTACCACTACTGGCCCTGTTCCACAAGACAAAGTGAGCTCCTTTCATTGAAAATAAGTAGATATGAGGAACAAAAAAAAATAATAATAATTAAATCCCTGAGAAACATGTATAAGTAAAATTCTGTAGTACTAAAATGATGGTACAGAAAATACTTTTAACCAAGCTCTAAAATTTGAAGACAAAAAGAGAAAAATGATACTAAATGTGTGTTAATGGGTATACAATAAAAGATATAACTGATGATATAAATAACAAAGCAGATAGCAGATGAAATGAGGAATAATTTTTATAAGCAACTAAAATTAAGTTGAGATTTACTAGTTTATATCTATTGTAACTATAAGTTTTGTGTAATTGCCATGGTAAAGACAATAAAAATACATACATGGCAATACACTAAAATAAGACAAGAGCCAAAGCATATAACTATGAAAATCAACGAGACACAAAAGAGAAGAGGAAAAGAGGGGCAAAACTGCTACAAGAATAAAAAATACACAATAAAATGGCCATAGTGAGTCCTTCCTTTCAGAATGTTATGTAAACATTCATGGACTAAACTTCACAACTGAGTATTACAAAGATATTTAAAGAAATAACAAACAAGATCCTATTATATACTGTCTATGAGACACTTGCTTAGATCAAAGAACAAAATGGATAAAAGTGGCAAGAACAACAACAAAAAAGATACTACTGCATGCATATATTGAAGTCACAATCAGGAGCACTATATTTTGGGGCAAACTTGTTCTATTTTATACAATATATTTTAAGTCAAAACTGTCATAAAAGATACAGAAAGATCAACAAAATAATTTTCTCACTTACAAACTATATTTATGTTTTCCATATATGTAACACATATAAAATATTATACATATGCATGTATGTGTGAGGTGTACATGATATGTGTAAAATTGGGGTTTCCAAATACATAAAGCAAACATTGACAGAACTGAGGAAACATACAGCAATATAATAATGGCAGGATACTTCAATACCCCACTTTTGATAATGAATAACTCAAGATATAATATTAATAAAGGACCAGATACTTTGAAAGCACTATAAAACAATAATACCTTATAGACATATAGAGGACACCCCATACAATAGTAGCTCATATAGCATTCTCAACAGCTCATAAAACATTCTCCCAGATAGAACACATTTTAAGCTAAAAAGAAAAAAAAAACAGCTCAGTGCTTGTAGTTCAGCAGCTAGGGCACCAGCCACATACACTGGAGCTGGTGGGTTCAAATCCAGCCTGGGCCTGCTAAACAACAACTGCAACCAAAAAAAGGCCGGGTGTTGTGGCTGGTACCTGCAGTCCCAGCTACTTGGGAGGCTGAGGCAAGAGAATCACTTAAGTCCAAGGGTTTGAGGTTGCTGTGAGCTGTGACGCCATAGCACATTACCCAGGGCCACACAGTGAAACTCTGTCTCAAAATAAATAATGAGGAAAAAAGAACCTATAAATTTTTATAAGTTAAAATCTTAACAAACTATTTATAACAGAAATGGAATGAAACTAGAAATCAATAGCAGAAGGAAAACCAGAAAACCCACAAATAAATAAATATTAAATGACAAAATCTTAAGCATGCTCTTCTTCAAGGATTTGAAAACTTAGTATTGTGAAGATGTCTACACTGCCCCAAATGATCTACAAATTTAAAGCAATCTCTTTAAAATTATCAAAGTCAGCCCAGGGCAGTGGCTCACACCTGTAACCCTAGCACTCTGGGAGGCTGATGTGGGATGAGTGATTGAACTAAGGAGCTCTAAACCAGCCTGAGCAAGAGGGAGAACCCGTCTCTATGAAAAACTGAAAAATAAGCTGTGCATCATGATGGGTGCCTACAGTCCCAGCTACTCAGGAGGCTGAGGCAGAAGGATCACTTAAAACACAGGAGTTTGGCATTACTGTGAGTTAGGCTAATGCCATGGTACTCTAGCCTGAGCAACAGAGAGAGACTCTGTATCCAAAAGATAAAATAAAATAATCAATATCATAAGCAAACAATTAACAAAAAGCAATCCGAAAATCATACGGAATGCCAAACTAACATGAAGAGCCCAACACTTTCTACTATCAAGACAGGCTACAAAGGTATAGTAATCAAAGTAGTTTGCTACCAGCATAAAGACAGACAACTAGACCAATGAGAAAAAATATAGGACAGCAACCAGATTGGAATGGATTTGGTGGCTGGCAGGGCAGTCATACTGGGAAGAGCTCAGCATCCAAGGGGCTGCCATTGTGGGAAGGTCATGAGAAGGTCTTTAGCAGGGATCTAAAGCATGGCTGTCTTAATCCCACCTGCCAGGATCAGAACTCTACTCTTGGGTCAGGCAGAGGGACTCCCAAACCCATGGGAACTGGTGTCAGGGGGCACTGTAACACCTGCCACTGAAGTATTCTGGAGAGCTTTAAGATCCCAACCTGGCAGGGTCTGAATGCTGAGGAAACAATCAGGTGATCACCAGGAGCAACTAAGTTAGGAATAGGACCATAGACGTTGCCGGCTGTGTTCTCCGTCTCCTAAAAAAAAAAAAAAAAAAAAAAACAAAAACCCACACCACCTCCTGGTGATATATTGCTATATATATATATATATATATTCCTATTCCTATATATATTCCTATTAAAGTTGGTCCCTTCCACTGTATATATAATACACACACAAATATATACATACATATATACATAATTTTTAAAATAATTTTTAAAATTTTTTTTAACTTTTTAAAATTCTTTTCCTCTTCTATGTTGCTGAGGTTGCTACTGTTTTGGCTATTTGAGCTTTTTTGTTTTCTTTTGTTGTGTTTTCTTTTTGCTAATTTTTTTGGTTTGTTTTATTCTTAACTTCCAATTTTACTTTCATCAAGAGCAAGCACTCCTGTATTTTTGGTCATGGCAGAGGAAGAGTTTGGCTTTGCTTAGGCTGGAAAGGAGCTCCTGAATTCGAGGAACCAACTGAGCCCAGATCCTCAGAATCCTTGAATTACAGGTGTGTGTGGTCTCAACACTGTGCCAATCAATACCATTTCTTCTATCACTCTCATTCTCTCTTCCTGTCCTCATCCTCAAATGTTCTCCAATGCTTTTCTTTCATTCCCTTCCCTTTTTTTCTCTTTTCTTTTGTTCTTTCCTTCTTTTTACTTCTTTCTCTTCCTCTTGTTTTCCCTGCTTGTACCTTACTCTTCTCTTCCTTTTGACTTATACCAAGAGGCCACTTCAAGACCTAAGCTCTAAGAC